TTTTTTGAAACGGGGAGTATTTTTTCATGTTTCTTTAGGGAAAACTGCTCTCCTGAAACGTAGGGTTGGAAGAAAAGAGACTTGCTGGCTTGGTTGCCTGAAGTCATGCTTTGAGGAAAGTAGGTTTTCTGGCAGCTCAGTGCAGAGCCTCGCCTGTTGGGGCTCTCATCTGACAGGCGTTCTAGGTCCAGGCTTGCAGGCGACATCATTTTTTGCCCTCCTTCGCGTTCTACATTGCTTTCAGTGGAAATTCTTAGAAGTGTCTCAGGGCAGTTAATCACTTGGATCCCTGTTTTAGAGCGCTTTAACCCCTTCCTGCCCCCAGCCTTGGCATATTCATGCATGGTACCTCTTGTTCTAGGCGAAAGTCCTCTCCGAGTCCGGTGCTGGTGTGTTGTTTATGTTTAACATGTTTGCCATGCACATCCCTGTGGTGGAGGCAATGTCACGCAGCTTTGCATCTTTGTGACACTGTTGAGCCAGGATCATTCCATGTTGCTTAACAAGACTCAGTAACAAAACTTGTTGACTTACGTGTGTAGGTGATGTCACCCAACAAGTACAGTTCCCTCTAGGCTGTGCTAACGGTGTAGTGGTGTTTTTTAGTTTGCTGCAGTAGATAAGCATGCTGTAGAACAGCATTAGGCTCCAGAATCTTGGTCCATGCTTATGAATCCCAGCCTTCACTGTTCATTGGTGTGCCTAAAGACTGAACACTTAGTTGAGCCTGAGCTGGCACGTGAGCGATAAACCAACAGTGCAACGTAGCTTTTGGAGTTGCTGCCAAGCACTGAGCGCACTTTATGAAGCTGAGGTATCCTTTCACAGAGAAGGCAAGTGCTTTGCATGCATGCATACACGTGCACGCACACAGACTTTGTGTGATGCTTGCATTTGGAAGCAAATCAATATGATTACATTTGTTCTCATGTTACTCCTAGCGCACTTTGGGATACCTAGCACCTCTCTAGTATCATACCTTTCTAAAGTACAGTACAAATAATTCCCACTGCACTTTGAAGACTATTTCTCTTCCTTCCCCCCAACCCTGGCTTCCCTATTGGTAAAAATAAGATTAAAATGCTTTTGTAAGGTGTGGTACTCTGAATCGGTGATCGTGCCTTCAAGCATCTTGCTGTCAGCTGAAATTTATCTTCTAAATGTTACCAGAATGAGATTAGTGCTGAACAGCAGTCATCTTTGGGGTCCAGGAAACAGCCTTGTCTAAACGAGGTTGGAAGTCAGTTGTGTTTTTTTCTTTTTTTGCTTGTATGCAGGCATGAGATATATTTATTCAGAGTGGTGTAATCCAGGAAAGTAACTCTGGAAATTTGAGCTACACAGTTATCTGTTCCTTTCCTGCAAATCATACCTGTTTTGGTATTTCCACCCCCCACCCCCCCCAATGGGGAGATGAGCTGGTGGGGGAGGGCAAGAGTTGAGCTGGTTGGTGAAAACCTTGCCCCAGGCATGGGATCTCTTTCAGATGACCTTCATCGCAAGCAAACAGTATGTGGGTGGTGTCGGCTTTGTATTCTGACTTGTCCTAATAGCCGGTAATCCGGTTACATTTAGGTTGACATTGTGGACATCTATGAGTCTATCCGTGAAAGGCAGCGTCATGACAGCGAAAGGTCTACCTGCAGCACCTTGGAGCAGAATGACATTGAAGCTGTTGAAGCGCTTGTTTGTATGAGCTCCTGGGGTCAAAGATCGCAGAAAGGTGACATATTAAAGATAAGGCCACTGACGCCCTTCTCGGATTCTGGTGATTTCACAATGCACACTGAGGCTACGTCTGAATTACCAAAGGACTATTTATCTACACTGGTAAGGAAAACATGGATGCAAAATAAATATGCCTCACATCTGGATGTTACATCTCTGCAATGTTTTAACTTGGCTGGAAAAGAGAGCCTGCTCATGTGTCCCTGTGTAGAATAGCTATAGGATAGCCAGTGCTGTGTGTGTGTACGTGGAATGGTGAGGTGGGCATGTTGAGTTTGGGTTTTTCTGCTGTCTCTGGAATGGCAGATGTAGGGGTTTGATCCCTTGTTGAATCTCAATGTGAATGCCTTTGCTGACAGGTTATTTAATTTAACTGATGTGCTGAGGATGCTGTCTTGAATGGCTGTTGGAGGCTTCTTGGAGTGCTTTGGGAGAGAATGGCAGAGTGAGCCTCAGTGATTCGGCACCAACTTATCTGCAAGCACTACATGAAAAAGGCTCTTGATGACATTTGGCTTTACTCTGATCATTACAAGAGAAAGTACAGGTTACCATTATGAAATAGACAATTTAATTAGCTTCTATGCTATGTGTTTGTACATGTAGCCTGTTATTTCTCCAGAGCATTGGTCTACTTTGGCTGACTAATGTAGGTTGAATCACAATTTTTTTTGTTGCAATTTATGTTGTAACAAAAGTAGGTATTAAACAAGGGCTTGGTGCCATTCAGGTTTCAGATGGCTAAGGCCCATTTCAACCAGTACCCTTCCAGTATGCAGTTATGTCAGGAAAAAGGGGAATAATAGAGGAAAGGGTCTGAGCGGGTATGGCAGCTGGTTGATGGACTTCTCTCATACTGGTGGCACTGTCTCTTGAGCAGCACAGGAGACAGGCATGAGTTTCAGTGGTAAAGGAGGAAGGAGAGGTGGTAGCAGCAAGAGAGCATAGAGAGAAATGGATGAGTAAGAAGGGAGAGAGCAGTTCCATTTGTCTTTATCTCAGAAGTAGCGACCAGCTGATGGGGTAATCATTGATGAAAGATCCAGGGCTTGCTGAAAGCTTAAAACAGAAATGGTACAGTGTCATGCTCTGTTGCTAGTCTGTTTTCTGTGAACAGCAGAGTGCTCATAGCCTCTCACAGCTGCACCCATTGCTGCGGAGAAAGGAATGAGAGAGTTTTTGTGTAGTGCAGTGAGTAGACATGCAATGTTTTATGCAGGTTCACATCTGCCTCATTGCTGTCCTTTTATTAACATGCTTTTTAGCATATTCAGAATGGCCATCAGATGAGGCAGTGCATGCCTTAATCAGTTTGTCCCAAAAGTCAGGTTCTGAGATTCTGGGAAGGAGGTGTTAACTTTATTTTTTCACAGTAGAGATAGAGAAAAATTGTGCTATGAAATTACACTGCTGTATAATGGTGTTTTCTTTTTTGCAGTGCATGACCCCTCCGCACAGCCCTGACTTTGTTGAGATATCAGCTGCTGTGCTCCTCTCCTCACAAGTCACTTACTCCAAACCAAGGACTGTCATGGCAAATACAGCTGCCTGCTCAGTCACGTCCGTGATTGGTGCCTCTCCCATAACCAAGCCATCTGCTATCAACACAGAGCGACAGTGCAGTCAGAAGCCAGTGATATCTGAATCCTTTGCCCCTCAGCCTTGCAGGGCCATGGCAACAAGCGTGATACGTCACACAGGTGATAGTTCTGCTTACCATCACATTCCTGC